CCTGCTGACACCCAGTCAGGTGTGGCAGCAGTGAGTGCTGGTCCCCAAATTGGCACAGCCCATTGTCCTTGCTTGGCCCTCATGGAGATCAGGAAGGGAAGATTTACACTCTCATCTAGAGTTCAGACTTGAGAAAAGACAGGTATCTGAAAATGAGAGCTGAGACCCAGACCTCAGTGTTGGTCCTGGGTTGGGATGTTGAGCCCTAGACCCATCTGTGATGTTCAGCTATTTTAGTGGGTTAACTAGAGCGGAGGAAAAAGGGTTGATTACAAGTAGTTTTTCTTTCTGATGCAAAGTCTGGTGGCTGCCACTCGTCACCCTCCAGAATTTGCTTTGGGACGCTTAATCAGTGCTTGACAAGAGTTTGCAACCTAGAGCAAGCACCTCTGGGTTGGGCAAAGGTACAAGGTATCTTTAGGTACAAGGCAGTGAGGTCTGATGAGTTCACCCAACGGTGTCGTGTCTCCTGATGCTGAACTGTGTGTTTTGCGTAGAGGAAGTCATGCTGGCTGAAGAGAACAAAAATTCTGGGACCTCAGCCTTAGAAGGTAAGACAAGCAATGCCCTGCCAAAATATCTGCCTGCCCTTCCTACTGCCTGCCTCTTACTGGAGGTCAAAACCCTCCAACTGTGATGGAAGATGTCTGAGGATGCCCTAGTTGGGTCTGCAGCCCAAGAGAGGGGTGTGGGGAGGTGGATTGACATCATAACCCCTGAGAGGAGGTGGAGGCCAGCAGGTGGCTGGTCCCACACAGGAGACGGCTCTGGACTAGGGTCACCTGGGTATCTCTGTCCTGTTACCAGACCTGAGTTAGCTAAGTACTGATCACTAGGTCCTAGTCCAACGAGCTGGCTACTGGTAGAGTTTGGCCATCATGGTTCCAACACCCATTCCTCTTCCCTTCCCAGTGCTCAGGCGAGCCACCATCAAAAGGAACCGGACAGACACTATGAACCGTGACTCGAGTGATGAACACTGTGTCGATATCTCCTCCGTGGGTGAGCGGAGGCTGGCGCAGAGAAGGCCTCTTCATCCAACCTTGGGTCAGTGCGGTTCGGAGCTTCCTTCCCCAAAACCTCTGCCAGCTTGCTGAGTTGCTGGGGTCGCACCCATCACGTGGAGCCTGTCACAGATTGGCCATCCCTGCTGGTTTGGCAGCAAAGGGGAGAAACCACCTGCTACCCCCTGTGCCACCTAAAAGCTCTCTGGATAAGTTGTATTCCATAAGGGCTGTGTCTGTGAGCTGTCTGTCCTGATTCACGTTGCAGGGAAGGCTGGAGCACCCAACTCCTCCTCCCCCCTTTTTTTCCCTTAGGTAACCCCTTGAGTCACTCTGGCCTCAAAGGGGCCAGGGTGGACGGTGCCTCCTACTTACGGCACAAGGAGCGACTCCTGCGCATCTCCGTTCGCCACATGGTGAAATCCCAGGTCTTCTACTGGATCGTCTTGAGCCTGGTGGCTCTCAACACTGCCTGTGTGGCCATTGTCCATCACAACCAGCCAGCCTGGCTCACCCACTTCCTCTGTGAGTCCCTGGGCTTTGTGTAGGTGTGAGAGCGCTGCGCGGGCAGGCAAAACCTCCTGCAACCTTCTTATCTCCAGCAGCCAGAGGTTGCAGCATGCCCTCGCTCCTTGCCCGAGGGCACCTGGGGATGAATCCTACCAGAGTCATGCTGACATGGAGCTGGGTGGGGAATAACCTGAACTACATTTGCTGTTGATAGCAAAGGACTATGTACAGCCATTTAATTCAGCTTTGCCCTTGAACCTGTGGCCACTGATGGCTCCCTCAGCACTCTGGGCAAATGTGGAGGAGTTTTACTGGCCTCATGCTCTTCAGATCTGATGTGTTTGTCAAGAGAGAGAAACAAGACTGCAGATCTCAACCGAGTTTATCCTAAAACAGTGAACAGTGGTGATGGAAATCTTGCTGGAGATCCATCTTCAAATATGCACAAGCAATTGCTGGAAGGGCATGAGTTTGCAGGGGTGAGAGAACTCCCCGGTTAAAATTTTGGTACAGAGCATGGCATGGAGATCCCAAACTCAAAACTAGTTACTGGAGCATGCAACCAGCCCACGTGGTCTTGTGGTGCAAGGTCGGGTCTCCAGAGGCAATACAGCCACATCTATTCTAGTGGTGCTGACTGCAGAGCAGCGAGGTCAACCCCACGGCAGCCGTGTGTCCCTCCTGGGCTGCTGCAGTGGCGATAGCGCTGCTCTCTCAGCTGTGTTATTCTTACTCACCTTGAAAACGTCCCTGTTAAGCACCGGACCTGCCCAAATCTCCATCAGCATGCTCAGGCTTGCCGGGCTCCCAGCGTGCCATGGTGTGGTACTGCAGCTGGTCGTGGCGAGAAGCATTTTTTGGAGAGGGTGAAGAGCTGGGCTCTTCCTTGCTAATGTTCATGAAATAGCTGGAGAAGCTTTTCAGTGGCTCTTGGCTGTTCAGCTCGCTGTCCCTGGCTGAGATCCAGCCGTGCAACGATTTCAATCCAAGTTGC